CCTGCAGCCGTCTTGGGAGCCTCTTGGGCCGTCTTGGCGCTCTTGGGGCTGGCTTGGGCCGTCTGGGGCCGAACATAGCCGAACGTTGGGGCCATGGGATCTGGGGCGGGTCCTGCCCACCCCCATCACACCACCCCTTGTCAGTTCCCCCAACTGACGGATTACGACGCTACGCGCGCCGTCCGTCATCTGAGGCCGCCGACGCCAACCCCCTCACACTCCCCCGTATGAGTCCCCGGGCTACGGATCGCGACGCTGCGCGCGCTTTCCGTTATCCGCCGCCCCCTCGTGATCACAGGGGTGCCCAGCGTGCTGAACGTCTGATGGTTTCTGGTTCTTTGAGACCTCCCCCTGAGGCTTCGGCCCAGAACGCTGGCCACCCTGAAAGCCGCCGAAACTTTATCTCTCGTGGGTCGAATCGCCTCCCAGACAGCCCGGATGGCTCAAGATGGCCTCGAAGATGCTTCCAAGACAAGACGCCTACATGACGGCCAAGACGGCACCAAGAGAGCACCAAATGGCCCCACGATGCACCCAAGACGGCCCAAGATGGTCCAAGAGAGCCCAAGACGGCCCAGGAAACGCGCAAGAGGCCCCTAAGACGGCCCAAGAGGCCTCCAAGAGGTCCTCCAGGAAGGCCAGAAGAGGCCAAAATCATTGATCTCCCTGAGATGTTTGAAAAAATTTGGCATTTTCTTCAAAACGGCCTCCCGACAGCCCAAGACGGCCCAAGAGACCCCCAAGATTGCGCCAAGATCGCCCAAGAGGCCTCAAAGATGGCCCCAAGACGGCTCAAGAGGCACTCAAGATGGCCCCCAAAGGGCCCCAAGACGGCCCAAGAGGCCTCCAAGACGCCCAGGATGGCCTTCAAGACGGCCCCGAAGCGCCACAAGAGGGTCCCAAAACAGTCCAAAGAGGCTCCCAAGAAGACTTCCGACGGCGTCAGACGGGCCAGGAACGCCGTAAGACGGCCAAAGAGGCCCTGTAGAAGCCCCCAAATGTCCCCAAGAGGCCCAAGGAGGCCCCTAAGAGGCCCCCAGGAAGTTCTCAGGAGTCCCCAAGAATGACCCCAGAAGCTCCCAAGAGGTCTCCTAATCCGTATCCTTATCCTCCTTTTTTCCTCCCTCTCATCATCCTCTTCCTGCCCCACGTGTCCCCCGAAGGGCTTCCACAACAGCTGGGGGAACGGATGGTACAATAGCGTGGCCACGCTTTGCCTGAACATTTGGCCAGAGGCGCATTTCAAAGAGGCAGGGGGCGGCCTTGACTCGCGTAATTAGGCGTCTTCGATAGTGTGAGATTACTGTGCTACGGAATTACATGTATGATTGGACACGGGATATGTTGCGACAGGGCCTTCGCGGAAAACGCTGCCGCTCAGCACGTCAACTTCCAGACGTGGATCTGGCGCGTGAGCGCCAGATCCACCGACACATCGCCGATAGATCGGCGATGGGCCCCCGATGGCGAATCCGCATGGTCCTGGGCGGGGTTAGGGGAGCGAAGAATGACATGAACATAAAAACTCGGAGGTCCGCGCGGATTTCTCGGATCCGCGCTGGACCCCCCTCCCTGGCGCGCGGAGCGCGCCAGGGGCGGCGCCGGAGACGCCCCCAGGGGGGTCCAGCGCGGATCTGAGAAATCCGCGCGGACCTCCGAGTTTTTATGTTTATGTCATTCTTCGTTCCCCTAGGGGTGGGCTATCGGGCCCCTGGGGCGATGAATGGGCGATTGGAGGTCGATGCATCCCCCCCTGAGCCTATCTCCCCCTGACGTTAGGTCAGGCGTGTCCCCCCTACAGGCGGATTTTGGACGAAAGCGAAAAAATAATCAAAAAAAAATCGAAAATAGCCAAACATAGTCGAAAATCGTCCGCATTAAAAAATGTGTTCATGTTTTTGTTTTGAAATTCGTCCTGTAAAAGTATCACGTCCGACTTAACCCTGAGCCTATCTCCCCCTGACGTTCAGGAGGAAAATTCCACAGTTGTCAGAACATATTCTAGTAGGGACGATGTTTCGAGTGATTTTGGCGATTCTTGGGATACTTGATGATTATTTTTTGTTTTTCATTCAAAATCCGCCTGTAGGGGGACACGCCCGACTTAACCCTGAGCCTGTCTCCCCCTGACGTTAGGTCGGGCGTGTCCCTCTACAGGCGGATTTTGGACGAAAACCAAAAAATAGTAACAAATATTCCACAGATAGCCAAAAATAGTCGAAAATTCGTCCCTACTAGAATATGGTGTGACTGTTTTGGAATATTCCTCCTGTAGAGGGACACGCCCGACTTAACCCTGAGTCTATCTTTAGGTCGGGCATGTCCCCCTACAGGCGGATTTCGAACGAAGAATAAAAAGTATTCAAAAACTACCCCAAAGTTATCATACAAATTATCGAAAAATTGTCCCAGACTATTTCTTGACTATTTTATAGCCCCCCTGTAGAGGGACAAGCTCGACTTCAGCCTGAGCCTATCTAGAGGCCTCCTAGATGGGGTCCGAGTAGATGGGGGCGGAGGATCGCGCCGCATCGCCGATACATCGGCGATGCATCGCCAATGCATCGCCGATACACCGGCGATGCATCGTCGACGTCGGCGACGTACCGGCGACGTCGACGTGAAGCAAATCGGGATCCACATCGAGCCGAATCGGCGATGCATCGGCGATGCGGCGCGATCCTCCGGCCCCGTCTGCTCCGACCCCGTCTGGGAGGCCTGGACTATCTCCCCCTGACGTCACCCCTGAGGGCCGCTGGGACCTCGACCGGCCCTCCTCCGAGCCCCCGTGCCAATCCAAAACCGGCCGGGGATCTTCTGACCCGGGCCAATCCAAAACCGGGTCAGCAGGAAACCAAAAAACTGCAATGCGGGAAACAAAAACTGCAACGCAAGTCTTCGCAAACCCGGGTCAGCCAATGTGCGCGGCCGCCTCGCGGCCACGAGCAGCTCGCTGACCCGGGGCAGCCAGAGGGGGTCTTCGCAGGATCCTGCAAGAGCTGCTGCCCTGGGTGACCCCCGCTTGCGCGGACCCCCGTCTCTTGAGCCCCTCTGGAGGCCCCGCCTCCCTGCGCCCTGTCTCCCGGACTGAAGCTGCGCGTAGCCCGCCTGGCTTCTAGCGGAAGAGGCTCGCTCTCGCTGACTACCTACCAGACCACCCCAACCCAATCCGAAGACCCGAATTTCGGGTTGGGGGGGGGGGCAAGGGCTCCACACGTATTCTTTCGATGCTTCCCGACCCCCCCCCCCCACTGGAAATCGAGGGTAAATTGGAGCCCTCGGGTTGGGTTGGGGTGGCTTGGTGGGTGGTGACTCGCCCCGCCGATCCAAAAGCCTCCTGAGCCCCGGCTCTCGGGGGGGGGGCCCTCCGCAGCCGGCCCCCCGGGCCGCTCCTGCGCCTCGGGCGCCCCCCCCCCCTGGCGGGCCGCGGCCCTGGCACGGGGCACGAGCGCGCCGCGGGGGAGCGAGCGAGCTGCGGCGCGCCGGGGCTCTCGGGAGGCCCAGGGTCCCCGACGCCGCGGTCTCGTCGCGGCGTCGACGCCCAGGGGCCCGAACCCCTTCCCCTAGGAATAAAAAGTATTCAAAAACTACCCCAAAATTATCATAAAATAATCGAAAAATTGTCCCCAGACTATTTCTTGACTATCTTATAGCCCCCCTGTAGAGGGACAAGCTCGACTTCAGCCTGAGCCTATCTAGAGGCCTCCTAGATGGGGTCCGAGTAGATGGGGTCGGAGGATCGCGCCGCATCGCCAGTGCATCGCCGATCTATCGGCGATGCATAGGGCGATGCTGCGCGATCCTCCGACCCCATCTACTCGGGCCCCACCCAGGAGGCCCAGAGTCTCGCATCCACAGGCACCATCGCGTCGCAAAGACAAATCAGGACGGCAAATGTTTCACTGCTTGCGACCCTCGGGGGCCCTCGCCCGGCCCCGGGACCGCGAAGAAACGACTCGGAACGGAAAAACCGGTCCCGGGGGAAGGGTCGGGACTTCCAGGGACGCCGTCCTGGAAAAATCAGGGCGTCGCATGTCTGGGGCCTGAACCCCTTCCCCGGGAAGTGTTTTTTTTTTTACGACGACATGGGAGCCAATGTGTTCACGCGGTGTGCGAGTGTACTGCTGGACGCTACCACGAGTGAGGTATGTCGGCCATACTACCCGATACTCCGAAGGCGTTGGGCTGCACCGTCGATCACCCCTGGAATATATACAGCCTGAGCTCGTCGGTGCAGGGCCTCCGATTGGATGGCTGCCTCGTGCCTGAATCCTCCTTTGACGGTCCCGAGGTTCCGGGAAGGCCCCCCGCAGGCCCAAAATAGCGGAAAACTTCCCGTCGTGTCTGGCGACGCTGGGGGCGAGGTGGCGGCGCACACGCGAGCGCCTGCTGCAGCGTGGCGTCGTGCACGGCCTGCTGCTCCTTCACCTCTGCCGGCGCAGGGGCGCGAGCGCGAGCGCACAGCTGCCCCCCATCGCGCCCACACCTCCCTTCCCTCCGTTCCTTCGCTTGCAAGAAATGCGCTTGCAGTGGCCCCACGTGCACTTGCCACTCTGCTTGACACTGCGTGGCGGCAACTCACCAATCTTCAAAGGGGGAGCTGTCACCTGCTACCGTTTAGACACATTTCGATATACAAAATGATGCCTGCACGATCCTAGCAGTGATGACTCGGACACGAACAACGAAAGAGGCCCTTATTCACGTCGCGTTCGACCACTGCGGGCGTTAACGAACATATCCAAGAGCCGTCTCCGCACGATCGCGGCCCCCGAACCCCCCCATCTCCTCCTCCTACAGTCGGACCTAGGCCAGAAGAACGTCCTTCAAGAACATGGGGCCCTGGGCCAGCCAAAATGAGGAACATTCGAGGGCACCCTCCCCCCTGATGCACAAGAACGTCCAACAAGCACGAAGAACATGAGGGTGCCCTCCCCGAGCCGACCTCGATCATCATCCTGAGGAGGCGGAGGAGGAGGAGGCGGCGGAGGAGGAGGCGG